GTGACAGCACACACAGACCATCACAGCACACACAGACCGTGACAGCACACACAGACCGTGACAGCACACACAGACCATCACAGCACACACAGACCATCACAGCACACACAGACCGTGACAGAACACACTGACCCTGTGATAGCTCCCCCCCTCCCCAGGTTCAAGCTAGACAAAACCCAGCCCTGGGAAGGGGAAGTGGACACAAAGTCCCACTCTAACCAAGAAGCTATTTTAAATGGTACCTGCCAGGGAAGGGAAAGTCAATTTTCTCCAGTGGGGTGCCACTGGGTCTATCAACCACACCTCAGGCCTCACGCTCTGCCTAGCAGCCCAAGTTCCAGGCAGAACCTGCAGACATTGCTGGTGCCATCTCATGCGGAGTGGGCTTCCTGAATAGGAGCTTTTCTTAACGTTACAAGAAGGCCACACAAATCATGAACACTAACAGATTGTCCTGCCCCAAGGGTTCTCTCCTAACACAAACAGAAAGAGGTGCCCAAAGAACTCTTTCCCTTCCCTTAAACACGAAACTTAGACTTCCTTGATATAACTTCATCTAAATGAGAGAGGGTTGATATCTGGTGACCTATGAACTTGGTTGATTGCTACAGAGACTGATAACATGAAAGAGTTGCTGGTTGCATAAAAGGGAAGCCTTTTGTTGGGTTTTGGCTGTGTCCCATTCGGTTACCTGAAGTTCTGATTACTGCCACCAGAGGGCACTATTGAAAAGCAAAACGCCCTGGGCAGTACTTCCATGGTCAAGGCTGCTGAGGGAAAGGCTAGAGTTCAAAGTCGGGGCAAGCGGTGGAAATTTGCATGCGTTCTGAGCAGAGCGGGCAACTGCAGGTGGCTCTAACAGGCAAATTTGAGACAGAGCCTGAAGGATTCCTTTGAGGCGTTGGTGCCACAGAAGGAGCCTTTTGCCTCTCCTGGGTGGGGGATGGGCTTATTATGGGTGCACCTGCAGGGTGTAGAATGGCAAGGGCTGCTCTTCATCCTTATTCTTTATGACAGAGGGTCTGCATTGAAGATCGCTGGGTGTCTATGTCCTTGTCCAAGAAGGGGACCTTCACTCGGGAACACAAGGAACCCTGGCAGCAAGGTCTGGCTCGAGGCTGCGGGGCTGGCAGGTTGGTGGGGACCAAAGAGGAGTAAGGTCTTGGGGAGAACTCCAGTTAGACAAACTGGTCACACACGGGAGGGTGGTGCTGCAGTGCGTGCTAACTCTCTCCAAAGGAAGAGCCAGAGACTGGAGGGAGGCTGGGCTTGGAGACAGGGGCCCGGATGCACACTTCACTTCTCTGGACTTCAAAGTCCTCAGATTAGAAGAAGTACATAAAAGTATACAGGGGACAAGTTGTAGTCCTAGCCACTCAGAAGAGCCGAGGCAGGAGGATTGCAAGTTCAAGGCCTGCCTGGGTTTTAGAGTTCAAGAACAGCCTAGGCAACTTAGTGAGACTCTCAAAAGAAAAGGTAAAGAGGGTAGGGGTCTAGCTTAGGGGCAGAGTGTGTGCCTAGCATGTTCAATACACACACACACACACACACACACACACACACACACACACACACACACACACACGGCAGACAGGGGACAGTATCCACTCTTGTTATTGCTGTTGTTACTGATTCCCTTGAACACAACCTTAAAAGCCAGGCCTCTTTATTGGAGCTAAAACCAGAAAGTTTTTTGCTTAATGTTCCATTTCTCACTGTTTGCTTTGAGATGAAGGTTTGCAGCGTCTGGCTGCCCTGGCTGTCTGGACTGAAGTGATCCTCCGCACTCAGCTTCCTCGGTAGTGAGAGCTATAAACAAGCTTTGAGTAATGTAGTCATGGAATGAGTACATTTTGGGTAAGGAACACACGTGGGCTGTAAGGGGAGACAGACATACCTTTGAATTCAAGTGTGGCATGGATCCCTTAGGGGATAGAGGAAATTTTTATGTAAACTCAATTTAAGAACCATTTGTTTTACTATAATGGAAATCTCTCACAGTTTTTTTTTTCTGCTTATATATTTAAATTATTAGGCAGAATCTTACCTAGGACATAGTCCATAACAAGCTCTACGTTAACGTTCATATCGATAGCAGTTGGATCAAACACACAAAGATCCTCAACTAAGTACTTGTTAATGTACTGTGAAGAAAGAACAAAAGAAAAGTTATGTGATCACCCAGCAGAAACACAGAGCCCAGCCCCCTAGCTTCCACAATCCCACACAGGAACGTTCTCAACAGGCAGAATGGATCTCTGCTTGGGAATCAGAGTAACTGTAGCTTCCTAAAAGGAATTTGATAACGTTCCTTCTGTTACTATTGTGTGGAACACTTTAAAAAGTATTGGTATTAACTCTTCTTTGAAGATCTGGTAGAATTCTGCATTGAAACCATCTGGTCCTGGGCTTTTTTTGATTGGGAGACTTTTAATGACTGTTTCTATTTCCTTAGGTGTTATTGGTCTATTTAAATAGTTTATCTGGTCTTGATTTAACTTAGGTATGTGGTGCCTATCCAGAAAATTGTCCATTTCTTTTAGATTTTCCAATGTTGTGGAGTACAGGTTTTTGAAGTATGATCTGATGATTCTCTGGATTTCCTCGTTGTCTGTTGTTACGTCTCCCTTTTCATTTCTGATTTTGCTAATTTGGGTGCTCTCTCTCTGCCTTTTGATGCCTCAACTGAATGTACCAGGCTTTGCTGACTCCCCATGGGAGACCTTGCCTTGGAGGAGGTGGGAATGGAGGATAGATTGGGGAGGGAGACTGTGGGGGGGGGGAGGAGGGAGGATAGGGGAATCTGAGGTTGATATGTAAAATGAATAGAAAATCTCGTAATAAAAAAAATCACTACATACAACCCACTACAATACTAAACATATATGATAAAAGAATAAACATGTGAAGAACTAAAAAAAAAAAATGGATCGCTGCTGTTGGATGTCAAGATCATGGTTAGCTTTGAGGTATGTGTTTTGGGGACAGGGCTTGTGAGAAAGTATACAAAACATGGGCTTTTGAGATGTCACTTGTGTTGTCTGTGAACACAGAGGTGGGTCATGAGGGTCTTTCCTTTGAGAAGGTTCTTGCATCTTGTATACCTGTGAGTTCTGCTGTTATAATTTGTATACCAAAAATTAAAAAAAAAACACCCCAAAACTCACAAAAGACACTCCAAACTCACAAAAAACACCCCAAACTCACAAAAAGACACCCCA